TCGACAAGAGAATTGCCGAATTCCAAGTCTTTAGTTACGGATATGACGAAGATGAATACGTTGACGAGTTCGGAGACAACTGTACAAAATGGTTTGAATGTTATACGACAACACAATTTGAATTCGACTTTCTCGAATTCAACGCAGCAACCATTCATATCATTGCTCTTTACCTTTCCGAACAACAACAAGACCTCGCAGATGGAGATGTTGTTACTGTCGTCATGGAAACTCCTGAACAATTCGGAAAAAAGAAGTCTCTAATTGCCAAATTCGTTCCAGGACATCAGCTTTTCCAACGCACAGAAGTCTTCTGTATTCCTGGAACTAAGTTCTTTGTCAGGAGCGAGCTCAAAGAAAGATATAATGTGTCATTCAATTACACATTATATAATGTTTTCGACCCAGAAGAAGGCTTCTTCCCAGAAGCAATGGAGGAAGAAGAAGAGGAGGAGGAAATACAAAACTCTATCCAAGAAGAGTCCTCCGAATTCACACCAGAAGACTAACAATTTTCCGAATAAAAACTTCATTTATACTAAACATCTTCGGGGCTAGAGGGCACGAAGTGCCTGGAAGCCCCACTACCTTTTTTTTTTTTTTTTTTTTATAATATATTTAAATCTTAGAATGAAAATTCGGGACGCCCTAGCTATTCAATTTTCCCTTAGGACGCCCATAAACCTCTCAAAAATGTGATGTAAATATCACAATTTTGAGAAATTTACACTAGGACGCCTTAGGACGCCAACCCCCTTTTTTACCATTGAGCAATAATCAAAGATATTTTTCCAAAAATGTTATTCCAATATCTTCGCATTGTTTTATTAGTCATTATTTGTGTAATCGATCACATTCTTTAAAGAAAACCCAATTGAGATCTTGATTTATTGTTTTTTAAACGTTAAATGGTTCTCGAGAGTGAATTGTTAGCTCAAGACATGAAAATAAATGCATATACGACTCCAGTTTCTTGTGTTTATCTTTATATATTTTGTTGAAAAATCACATTTCATCCTACCATCAGTTGATATTATGGTTTAACGCGTATATAAATATTAAAACTCCTCGTGTAATGAGCAAAAAACCCCAAAAATATTAAAACAAAAAATAGAAATAGATATAATTTCATAAATTCCCAAACAATATGAAGGGAAATAGTGAATATAATTATGCTTCAAGAGAATGATGCTTCATAAAATATTAATCATAAAAAGTTGCTTTGAAAAGTCACCAATTTGAGATCTGTGAAGTTACTATACTACCATTTACACATAGTTGTTATTCTGATATACCGTAGATGCTATCAACTCTTTAATGATAGAATATTTGCATAGAAGTTTGAGGTTAGATGGGACGAACTTTAAATTGAACGGTCAATTTAAAGCAAGTATTCAATTTTTTGGTCAATTTAAAGCAATCATATATGTAGTTTGTTTTAAAGGCTTGATCAATAGCATATGATCAGTACTCGTTGAGTATGTTATGATGTCAAGAGATAATGGATAGTACACTTTAATATTGAAATTGAATTTGGATTATTATGCAATATTCTATAATATATATTATGATGATCATAAGAATGTGTTGTATGTGATGACACTTAAGTATCATTGATATTTTTTAATTATTGAAAAAGTTAGTAAATAATATTTCTTAATGTGGTGTTCTATTTCGTGAATTCAATAATCACTGTTTTAGAATTTATAAGTATAAGCTGAAAATGATAAGCTTAGAATGACAAGCTGATGATGCCGGGATAAAAAATAATAATTTGTCAAAATGCTCATTTTAATATAAGAAGGTTAGGAAATGGACTTTGACCTTGAGAAAAAGCCCATCTTCTAACTTTTAGACGAATTTTGGTTAACATTGCGAGTGTCTGCTGCAAATCTCTGCTGAAGCAGCAGGCACTCGCAATTGTAGGCCATGGCAATTGTATTTATAGTGTTAGAATACAATTGCCATGACTTTTGTGTAATCATTTGATCTTCCTGGAAGGAGTTGCAATGGAAGCCAAACCCCACTCCATCCAGTATCAGAAAGCCAGGAAGGAAGTCTTAACCTTGAGAAAGGGCTTCCTTCTAGGCTTTCTGTGTTACATTGGATCATAATCTGTAGAGAAGGGAGTATTTGCAGATTCTGGCCTCTTATAAGGCCAGATCTTCGTATTTCATGCTTCCCAGGGCCGGATTTCTCTCCTGCCGCCATAGATCAGGACGGCATTTGAGAAAGCCGGCCCTGAGTAATGTAAGCGAGGCTCTGGCCTCAGTAGAGGCCAGAGACTGTGATATTACGTCTTTCAGGGCCGAGTTTCTGCGAGAATGTCTATCATGTGGATGATCATCGCAAAACTCGGCCCTGAGGATGAATTTTGCAGGATCTGGCCTCAGTAGGAGCCAGAGCTTGGTATTGTAGGATTCCCAGGGCCGGTTTTCGCTCCTGCCGCCCGGGATAAGGGCGGCATTTGAGAAAGCCGGCCCTATGAATTTAAAGCGAAGCCCTGGCCTTTGCTATGAGCAGGGCCTGTGTATTTCTTTCTTTCAGGGCCGAAATGAGAGGAGATCGTCAATGATGTGGACGATCTCCTTCAAAATCGGCCCTGAGGATTGCATTTGTAGGCTCTGGCCTTTGCTAGGGTCAGATCTTCGTTTGGTAAGTATCCCAAGGCCGGATTCCGCTCCTGCCGCCCGGGATAAGGGCGGCATTTGAGAAAGCCGGCCCTGGGTATTTAAAACGAAGCCCTGGCCTTTGCTGGGGCCAGAGCCTGTATCTGTATGTCTTTCAGGGCCGAGTTCTTGCGAGACTGTCGACATGATCGACGATCATCGCAAAACTCGGCCCTGAGGATTGTTTTTGAAAGCGCTGGCCACTGCTAAGGCCAGAGCTTCGTATGGGCACTCTCTCGGAGCTGGATTCCTCTCCGGCCGCCCTGAATCAGGGCGGTCTTTGAGGAAACCGGCCCCGAGGATGGTTTGCGAAGCTCTGGCCTTAGCAATGGCCAGAGCTTGTGATTTTAATGAAGAGCCAAGTTCCTCTCGGATCGTGCCTAATGAGGACCACCGTCGAGGAACTTGGCTCGATGAAGGCCAGAGTTTTGAATGGAATGTTTTGATGGGATGAGCCAATGCTCAGTAAGCCCGTCCCATCAAAACATTCGATTAAAAATTGAATCAAAAATTATCGTAATCATTGAAAAATTACAACAATATTTTTGAATAATATTATTATATAATAAGAATTGAATAAATTTCTCACAAAATTAAATAAAAATTTCCAAAAATAATAGAAAATTTTAAAAATTATTGAAAAAATAACAAATTTGATAAGAAAATTAAGGCTTAGAGAAATTTAAGAAATATAGAAAATGGTTATTTATTATTGAAATGGGAAATTGAGGATATTTGAGGAGTTTTATACAGAATGTGATATTTATAATTAAAAGAAATGAAGATATTCAAGAAAGGAGTTTACAAATGCAGGGTAAAGGAACAATACTCTGCATTTGTAAACTCCTTTCTTGAATTGAAATTCAATGAATCACATTCAAGTGAAAAAGTGCAAGCTATTCGAGAAAGGAGTTTACAAATGCAGGGTAAAGGAATAATACTCTGCATTTGTAAACTCCTTTCTTGAATTGAAATTCAATGAATCACATTCAAGTGAAAAATTTCGAGTTTTCCTAATTTACACATATAAATCCAATATAATAGCAATATCACACTAAGCACAAATGTAATCTCAATCAAAACACATTATCTTCATAAATGTTAACAAATTTTTCTATTCACACATGTCTAATCATAAATAATTAAGTCTATTCATCATTTATCGTCCAATCAAATATAATTTACATTCTCATTGATAATTGTTATATAAAAATAACATATATTATATTTCAAATGAGACTCTTAGAGCTTTTCTTATTTTAACATTGTAATAATATAGAATAGCATATAGATATATATGTAATAACGTATATATATGCCTATTTCTCTCATGTTTCGAAATGCAATGTGATATTGCACTCACTTTTTATAGAAATCTACCATACTCATAGGAATGATGACATATACATTTGTCTATCTATCTACGTTGTAAAAACCTTCATTAGCCCTAAGCTCAAAGTTTTTCTCATTCATTGCTTTAAATTAACCAAAAAATTGAATACTTGCTTTAAATTGACCATTCAATTTAAAGTTCGTCCCGAGGTTAGATCCTTCAAGAGTCACTTTTTATAACATTTTGATGTTCTCATGCAATGTTAAGTAAAACCTAGAAAATCAGATTTTTCTATCTGATTACTCTTTTAATGATCAGTTTTCATTCATTGTATTAATTAAATTTTTACGATTTATTGATAATTTTGATTTTTAATTTAATTAAAGGTGATTACCTGAGGTAAGCATTTCTCTAGTTGTCCACATTTTGTGTTCTTTACTGCGTTATGTAGAGTATGGTTACTAAATATAACACCATGGAATCGCATTCATAATAGCAAGATCTGCTTGTATTTTAAAAGCAAAATGTTTATCAGGCCATATGAGAGCGAAAATACCAACACAATATTATAATACTATTTATCCTATTTTAACTGATAAAAAATTCATCGTAGTAATTGAGTATATATAGAATAAATGCTTTTTTCTAATAATAGGTGCATATAAACTCAACACCAGTTGCAAATTTCCGATATTCTAAAGTACCTTATTTTCGGAAAGGTGATGAGTAAGCCAAATTTCCTTAGATCAACTTCCCAAGAAAGTTTTAAATTATTCAAGAAACAAGAAAAGAAATATCTCGAGTTTTTCTAAAAATGTATCTTTTATTTAGTTCCAAAAGCGCAAAAAGCTGACATAAGGAATTTTTCTGAAGCTAATTTCATAGAACCTTTATTCAACTTATGTTGAGCAGCAAATACACAAAAAACAATAATATGAAGGTAATTAACTGATAAAAACACCGTATTTATTTACTAATACATAAACTAACATACTTATCTAGCATCTAATAAGCTGATAATCTCTTCCACGCTCTGCTTGGAGATCAGTTGTGAAAGGACCACCAACAGAATTAAGAAGATTTTCAAGGGAAAGAGGGCATTTTGATTGCTGATATTTTCTCTTTTGTTGAAGGGCTGATTCCTTAGCTGCGGAAAGATCTAAGATTAACTTATATTCGTTTGTCTTCATTGTATGAGCAACTACTCCCATAATTTCCAAGAAGCTTAAAACTAAATACATTCTCCTTTCAAGAGATTTAATATCAGTTCGAGGATCATGGAAGGTAGAAGAGACCTGGCGGAGTAAAAGTGTGTCTACATTAAAGTATAAATACATACTAATAAAATGGGTTGCTATCATTCCCAATGATGGGGATTGACCTAAGCAAAATACCTGATTCATCGGCTTATGAAGGGATGCGATTTCTATTTTCGCGTAGGCTTTAGAAATCACGGATGGAACCGATGATAAACCGATCCAGGCAAGTTTTCCTCTTTCAACATTTTGGCATACGCCTAAGGAAGTTAAAAGGTTGAACAGATCATAGACGCGTCTGTATTGAACACCATACTGTTGAGCAACATTAACAATGTTAATATTGGCTGGCTTTAGCTGTTCAAAATCGTTGACGATTTGTTTATATGAATCAGTAAGAGAGTTAGAAATCTTTTCTTTAGAGCGAAAAGCTTTAATCTTTGGCTCGGCAAGAGCAAGATGTTCCGAAATAGAGATCGGTAATGGTGTTTGAGTCTCAAACATGGTTTAATAATTATGAAGAATTGTAAACTTCTGTAAATTGCGCAATTTTGAGAGGTGTGTTGCTCAATATAAACCGAATATTTCAATTCAAAAAGCCACACAATTTTGAAATGATTTCGTTTATTACAATTATGCAGTTCAACAAAGAATAAAAATTAGAAATTTTGCAAAATTAATGCCAACGATTAAAATTTTTCAAAGATTTGAATAAACTTGCATTGATATATTTAGGATCTTATTTGCATAATATCAAAATTTTTAAACAATAAGAAGCAGTTATTTTACATTGATTTTTTGATAATGAGCATATTTTATTATAGTATTATACATTTTAAAATTTATCAGATATTAAAAAAGCACGTTAACATGGGATTATCCGTAAACTATTCAATATATTTGACATAAATTTCATTTGGAATGCGTAATTGAAGTAATTATATTAGTCTAAAACTAGTTTCATAACTTTTTTCACTTTGTAGTAAAAACTTTGAAAGTTTCATTGAAAATTAGGTACGAAAATTAGATATGTAAGTTAGTAAATAATTAATACTATATAGTTTTCTCGACACTTGGATATAAAATTTGTAAGATATATTTTGAATACGCTTTCCAATTATAAACCTTTCAAAACTTCGTCTATACAAATTATTATTGTCATCATGTTTCTATTGTTTAATAAAAATCAAGCATTTAGCTGTTTTCATACGATAAACTTTCTGAAGATGCCATGATATTTTTTTTACTCACTACTATCGTTAAAAGTAATAAGTATATATCATGATATGAATTTTTATTCTATCAAAAATTCTCCATAAACTAAGAGTGAAAAGCAATCGAATGCAATAACCTCGTGTGAAATTTAAAAATAGAGTACTAATATTAAATTTATTTACTAAAACATCTGAAAAAACAAAATGAAATATTGAATTATGCGAAGTTTGGCTCTACATATGAGAAGCCAGCAATATTACCAAATGCATGAATGCCTGGTGAAACAAAAGAGTCTGCAGCAAGCTCTGTTGTGAACTCAGGATCAAAATTGTTTGTGCACATGCGATCCTTGATTTCTGGTATGTAAGACGGGGAGTGTTCTCTGTTGTAAACAGCATCCCAGTCAACACCTTCGAAGAATGGGTCAGATTTCACGTCATCGAAAGTTGGTCGCTCTTTTGGATCTTTTGTAAGAAGCCTCATTATAAAGTTAATGATTCTCGGATCCATGCCCTCTGGGAAATAAGGGTCGAGAGTAACGATTTCCTGGAACATTTCGTTCTTATTATCATTGCAGAAAGGAGTGCGACCCAAAATCATTTCGTAAGTTAAAACACCCAATGCCCATTCATCTATCTTTGTTGTGTACTTTTCTTGAGGGATAACTTCCGGTGCTAAATAATCTGGTGTACCACAAAATGTCTTTGCTGTGCCATCGACACCGAGCTCCTTTGATAAACCAAAATCTGTTAATTTAATGTGACCGTCAGCATCGAAAAGAATATTCTCTGGTTTGAGGTCACGGTAAATAATTCCATACTTATGAAGATGGGCTAATGCAAGGCCGATTTCAGCAACATACAATCTGGCATCGTCAACTGGAATTGTACCGTTGGATTCCATGTAGTAAAATAGCTCACCTCCTGGAGCATATTCAAGGCCGAGATAGACCTTTGTATCGGTTTGGAATGCGAAGCAAAGGTTGACAATAAATGGATGATGGATTTTCATCATAATATTTTTCTCGGTTAAGACAGAGCAGCTGTCCATTTCAGCCAAGCGCGATTTACGAATGGATTTGATTGCATACAGTTGATCTGTATCGATTCGACGGACTAACATAACCTTGCCGTAATAACCTCTTCCAATTACCGAAATAATTTGGAAGTCATCCATTGTAAGGTCGCAGCCGTTATCTTGAACTGTTCTAAGGAGGGAAATCCAGTGAGATACTTCTTCAGTTGTTGTTGCTGAAAAAATTATAGGCTTCTGATTTTTACCTAAGTTAACTTGGAAACGAGGAGTAGCTGAACCTTTTAGCAATTCGAAAGAAGCTTCGTTAGTTAGCTGTATTACTTTTTCTATGCTCTTGGTGGATTCATCTTTGGATATGATTAAAGACTTGTTGCATACAGTTACATATTTACGATTCCATACATTTGGTGTTTCGCTTTGAACTCTGAGCCACCCGCTATTTGTGCAATTTCTTTGAATCGAGCTGGGAATCGTCATCAAAAATGATAATTTGATAATTTTTTAAGAAAATTGAGAGAGCAGAATTTTTAATGAGCGAGAAAACAATAGACCAATATTATCATTAAAATGAGCTGCGTTTAAGGGTGTAAAATGAATCCGTTCACAATTATTCAATAAGTATTTACTTTTCAAATAAAGTATAATTATGTCAATATCATATAGTATAGAGTCATTGAGTAACGTTAAAATAATTTGATTCAATTGATGCATTTAAATATTTGATTGTCTAACCGATAGTAGTCAAAATTTCAATATTCATAATTTTTGAAGAGAGAACCCTATAATGAGCTGATGTTTGGTCAAATAACCTTCAAAAACTAATCGATTTAGGGATAATTATTATCGCCTATGTAGTAATATTTAATAGGAATTATGCAATTATAACGTGTAAGACTTTTCATTCACAATTCTATTAATTACTATTGTCTCGAATTCTGATTTGTTTTTTGATATACTAAAAATACACATCTTTGAATAATTTACTTTAATTATTTGACATTTTCAATTGTTCTTCTAAAATCATTACTCTTTCTAATAATTAATTCTTCATCTCAAAATATTTTCACAAATTTACTAGAATCTTTCAAAACTCTCAAATCTCCGAAATTTGGTTTCATTTTCAATTAAAACGATGATCTAATATTATTAAAATTATAATGTATAATGCAAAGGTAATAATTTAATATTTATTTCCCATAATTCATTTCTGACATCGCATATTCAAATTTATTTCTTACCAAACGACATTTTTTAACGCGATACGAGCGTAAGTCCATAGAATGTGTTTTGAGGGAAACTATAAAAATCCAAAATAGAGGTAAGTGCGCCATTATTATCTGCGAAGTTACATGGAATAAATCGAAGAGTAAGTACAAGATGATCTTGCATCTTTCCAAGTAAATGAAATTTATTAAAATTAAGATGATAATATTCATTTATAGTATGTGTATGATGTGTTTTCAAAATTTCTTCAAATAAAATGCAATGATAATTTTTGAATAATTTTTTTCTTGTGTATATTTCATTGTTTATTACTGAAAATGTAATAAACAGAAATTCATCAAAAGTGACAGCTCTCAATTTTTTGACATTTGTAAATTCTAAATTGAATGAGAAAAATGAAATAATACTAAGCATAATACAATATTCTAGATTTAATTATAATTAGGAAAAAGTTAGTTTTGAGAGTACTTTTCATAGGCATATAGAATGAAGTCTTCTGAAAAATAATATCACATAAACTCATATTATTTTCTAATATATAACTATTTTATATAAAAATCAAATTCAATGATCTTAAAAGCGAAGGATAAACCTCAAAATTTACGAATATAATGAGTGGGAATATAATGCTTATCTATCATAAAACCATATGAAATATCAATTTTTGCTTTACGCCTAATTTTTGACGACAATTAGCAAAAAATGTTAAATGTTAACACTCAGTCCATTTGAATATGAAAAATAAAATTGACTTTGATTAAATGTTTTTATTTATCATGCAATTCTTCTTGCGACCAAAGATTTGAATAAAAGTTCAAAAAATAAGATAGCTTAAAAAATAATATACGGTAGTGTTTACTAATAGATGAATAGTATATAAATTCTATTAAAATGGATTTGATCCAAAAAAATATAAAACCAAAAATAATTGTTATAATTTAAATGAAGAAGTAATTTAAAACAATTTTATTTATGATCAAATTTTATATATTTTTTTGGATCAAATCCATTTTAATAGAATTTATATACTATTCATCTATTAGTAAACACTACCGTATATTATTTTTTAAGCTATCTTATTTTTTGAACTTTTATTCAAATCTTTGGTCGCAAGAAGAATTGCATGATAAATAAAAACATTTAATCAAAGTCAATTTTATTTTTCATATTCAAATGGACTGAGTGTTAACATTTAACATTTTTTGCTAATTGTCGTCAAAAATTAGGCGTAAAGCAAAAATTGATATTTCATATGGTTTTATGATAGATAAGCATTATATTCCCACTCATTATATTCGTAAATTTTGAGGTTTATCCTTCGCTTTTAAGATCATTGAATTTGATTTTTATATAAAATAGTTATATATTAGAAAATAATATGAGTTTATGTGATATTATTTTTCAGAAGATTTTGTGTTCTTCTTCAAAATTTTATTTTTTTATTAAAAAGAATCTTTACAAAATATACATTTACTTTAATTAATATTTAAAAACGTGCTTTATCAAAAGTTCCAAAAATTCAATATTTTAGCTTTTCTGAGGTGTCACTTTTGATGAATTTCTGTTTACAACAAAAATATCATTACATCAATAAGGAAAGCACAATCCAAATTCATATTAGTTAAATTAATCTACGACCAAAAGCCCGCCAAATTTGAATTAAACCTCCAATTTAAAATTTTCAAGTCTACGGAACCATCCTTGGATCATAGTAATCATTCATTACAAAATGGAATCTTTTGGTATTGTGCGGGCGATACCATAGATTTCTTTTTATTGATAATGCTATTGAACAAGCTCATTCCGTGGATTTTCATTGAGAACTTTGTTTCATGAGTTTCTGGAACAATATAACATCTGAAACCTTTTGTGCGGGCAAAAGAAGGGATGTTTGTTGATTGAAAAATGCTCATTTAAAAGAAGTTCTGAAAAGAAATTTGGAGATGATTTGTGGGTTGTGTAAGGTGTAGGTGTTGTGATATATGTGGAAGGGAATAATCCTTACCTCAGTCATTGACTCATCCTTACCTCAGTCATAGACTCATCCTTACCTCAGACAAAAAGTCATCCTTACCTCAGTCATTGACTCATCCTTACCTCAGACAAAAAGTCATCCTTACCTCAGTCATTGACTCATCCTTACCTCAGTCATAGACTCATCCTTACCTCAGACAAAAAGTCATCCTTACCTCAGTCATAGACTCATCCTTACCTCAGACAAAAAGTCATCCTTACCTCAGTCATAGACTCATCCTTACCTCAGACAAAAAGTCATCCTTACCTCAGTCATTGACTCATCCTTACCTCAGTCATAGACTCATCCTTACCTCAGTCATAGACTCATCCTTACCTCAGACAAAAAGTCATCCTTACCTCAGTCATTGACTCATCCTTACCTCAGTCATAGACTCATCCTTACCTCAGTCATAGACTCATCCTTACCTCAGTCATAGACTCATCCTTACCTCAGTCATAGACTCATCCTTACCTCAGTCATAGACTCATCCTTACCTCAGTCATAGACTCATCCTTACCTCAGTCATAGACTCATCCTTACCTCAGACAAGTCATCCTTACCTCAGTCATTGACTCATCCTTACCTCAGACAAGTCATCCTTACCTCAGTCATAGACTCATCCTTACCTCAGACAAAAGTCATCCTTACCTCAGTCATAGACTCATCCTTACCTCAGTCATTGACTCATCCTTACCTCGGTCATAGACTCATCCTTACCTCAGTCATTGACTCATCCTTACCTCAGTCATTGACTCATCCTTACCTCAGTCATAGACTCATCCTTACCTCAGACAAAAAGTCATCCTTACCTCAGTCATAGACTCATCCTTACCTCAGTCATTGACTCATCCTTACCTCAGACAAAAAGTCATCCTTACCTCACAAGTCATCCTTACCTCAGTCATAGACTCATCCTTACCTCAGACAAGTCATCCTTACCTCAGTCATTGACTCATCCTTACCTCAGTCATAGACTCATCCTTACCTCAGTCATAGACTCATCCTTACCTCAGACAAAAGTCATCCTTACCTCAGTCATAGACTCATCCTTACCTCAGACAAAAGTCATCCTTACCTCAGTCATTAACTCATCCTTACCTCAGTCATAGACTCATCCTTACCTCAGACAAAAAGTCATCCTTACCTCAGTCATAGACTCATCCTTACCTCAGTCATAGACTCATCCTTACCTCAGTCATAGACTCATCCTTACCTCAGTCATAGACTCATCCTTACCTCAGTCATAGACTCATCCTTACCTCAGTCATGACTCATCCTTACCTCAGTCATAGACTCATCCTTACCTCAGTCATAGACTCATCCTTACCTCAGACAAAAAGTCATCCTTACCTCAGTCATAGACTCATCCTTACCTCAGTCATTGACTCATCCTTACCTCAGTCAAGTCATCCTTACCTCAGTCATAGACTCATCCTTACCTCAGACAAAAAGTCATCCTTACCTCAGTCATGACTCATCCTTACCTCAGTCATAGACTCATCCTTACCTTAGTCATAGACTCATCCTTACCTCAGTCATTGACTCATCCTTACCTCAGTCATTGACTCATCCTTACCTCAGTCATAGACTTATCCTTACCTCAGTCATTGACTCATCCTTACCTCAGTCATAGACTTATCCTTACCTCAGACAAAAAGTCATCCTTACCTCAGTCATTGACTCATCCTTACCTCAGTCATAGACTCATCCTTACCTCAGTCATTGACTCATCCTTACCTCAGTCATAGACTTATCCTTACCTCAGACAAAAAGTCATCCTTACCTCAGTCATTGACTCATCCTTACCTCAGACAACAACTCATCCTTACCTCAGTCATTGACTCATCCTTACCTCAGTCATTGACTCATCCTTACCTCAGTCATAGACTCATCCTTACCTCAGTCATAGACTCATCCTTACCTCAGACAAAAAGTCATCCTTACCTCAGTCATAGACTCATCCTTACCTCAGTCATTGACTCATCCTTACCTCAGTCATTGACTCATCCTTACCTCAGTCATTGACTCATCCTTACCTCAGTCATAGACTCATCCTTACCTCAGACAAAAAGTCATCCTTACCTCAGTCATAGACTCATCCTTACCTCAGTCATTGACTCATCCTTACCTCAGTCATAGACTCATCCTTACCTCAGACAAAAAGTCATCCTTACCTCAGTCATTGACTCATCCTTACCTCAGTCATTGACTCATCCTTACCTCAGTCATAGACTCA